CCCCCTGCACTGCTCTGCCATTAATCTCTGAAGCAAAATGCTTCCGTTCACTTGAAAGTTTACTGGAAGCAGAAATCGTCTGTCTTCAAAATTACCTACACTCCTGTACTGACATGGTCTCTTCCACCCACAGCCTGGTAAGAAAGTGTTTTTTTCTTTCCTTTTCTTTTTTCTTTTCCTTTTTAAAAGCCAGGAAGCTTTGGGTTTATTGTTTTAGGGAGGCACAGAACAAAGAATCAGTAAGTGCTTCCTTGAATGCCACTCTCTTGTTTAGACAAAGGATGCTCCAGGAATGTGCACAACGGCCCTGTGCACCTCCTTATAATAGAGCATTTCAGGAACATGGGGACCCAACAGACACAAAATCGGCACAAAGGAAAATGATAATTTCCTCATAATATTTTAATACCATCATGAAACAAAGTTGAAGAACTCCTGGGCCATTGGCTTTTCCCCACACACCCCTGCACACCTTTAGATGTCACTGATACTGTAAAATCCGTTGTTCCTACAGTTTCAATGTACCGAGTATTTTTATTGAAATTATCCTCATGAATCTTATAAGAAAGGTTCAGAAAATATCGTAATTTTAAAATACAGTCACAATACTATTGTAATGAAATCGACAGAAAGGATGTATCTGTGAAGAGGTCTAAGATGGGGCCATTCCCAAAACTCCAGGGCACTTGCCTTCATAAACAGCCGCAAAGCCTTTTCCTACCCAATTGCTGCTGCTGCGAAACTCAATCCACATTCTGCTATCTGTAGAAGTAAGAACCTCAGGAACTTTGTCCCCACAGAATCTACCTAAAAGAAATTAAAAAAAAAAATAAAGAGAGACTCCTAAATACAACTCTATATTCTAGTTGCTTTTCACACTAGCTACAAATAATATACATAAACAATCTGGTTCATATTTCTATCCCAAGTGATTTGAGCCTTAACTACACCTTAATACTCAATAATGACAGGTGAATAGAGCAATCATTTCATATCTACTTTATTTATTTATTTTTCATATCTACTTTTAAAGTATTTGACCATCAGCCTCAGATTTACTGACTAAGCATCATTACTCCATGCGGAATTCAGATGACAAGCTCCAAAAGCACAGTGAAGTGTCCCATAACATGTGAAGGTCACATGTGAAGGTCCCACAACACATGAAGGTCCCATGACATGTGAAGACCACAATGTGAAGGTCCCATGACACATGAAGGTCCCACAACACATGAAGGTCACACATGAAGGTCCCATAATACATGAAAGTTACATGACATGTGAAGGTCCCACAACATGTGAAGGTCCCATGACATGTGAAGGTCCCACAACACGTGAAGGTCACACACGAAGGTCCCATGATACATGAAAGTCCCATGACATGTGAAGGTCCCACAACATGTGAAGGTCCCATGACACATGAAGGTCACATGACATGTGAAGGTCCCACAACACAGGGAACAGAGAATGGTGCCAGTCGCCCTGGGAAATGGCTTCAAGTTGTTAGTCTGGTCATCAGTGGGGGAGTGTGTTGGTCACAGGTGCTCTCAGCTCTGAGTGGAGTTCCTGGTCTAGCCTGGTTCAATGCTGATGCCTCAGGAAAGCCCCAGCTCCCCCAAGTCCTGCAGTCTCTTACTATTGCACACATCACATCTCGTCTGTAGAGTATGAACGGCCAGGCAATAGGCAGAAAAGCAAACAGTCCCGAGACTGGAGTGTGAGTTCTGATTTTTCCTGATTCTGTATACGTAGGGAAGTACTGTAAGAGCACATGAACACGGTAACACATGCCTTTTTTTCTTTTGCTCCCCTCTCCCCACAAAATCGTTATTTCCTCTTGTGCGTCTGCCTGTATGCCTTAAACATTCACATGACAAAATGGTTAAACGTGACAATGCTCATGGAATAATCCCACAAACGTATTGTTATCCATTTTTTGTATGCCCTGGAGATGACACACATAGTTTTACTATATTAAAAAATAGTAGCCAACTTGCATAAAACACATTTATATTGGCAGCTAAAGAGTGAATAAATACCTTCCTAAATTGTAAGTGAACTGGAGGTGTGCAGCACAGAGCAGTGCTTCTTAAACTGTGGTGTGCGTCTGAATTTCCAGGAAACCTATTAAAATGCAGTCTCTCATTCAGAGCATCTGGAGTGGAACCCAAGTTGCTGCAATTCTAACAGCTTTCCAGGTGATTCAGATGCTGCCAAGCTGAAGGCTATGCTTTTTGGAGCAAGCTATTAGAAGAAATAGTGGGAAAAGCTTTTCTCCATGATCAGAGTCACCTTGACAGACCACTATCCGTTAGGCCAGGAGTCCTGAAACTTTTTAAACAGGGGTCAGTTCACTGTCCCTCAGACCATTGGAGGGCTGGACTGCAGGCCCTGGGACAAGTCGGCTGCTAGGCAGGACAGGCAGTGGCAGCAAAAACACCCGGCAGGCTGGATAAATGTCCTAGGTGGGCTGCATGTGGCCCGTGGGCCGTAGTTTGAGGATGCCTACGTTAAGCCATGTGATGCTGACACTGTTCTCAAAGACCGTGATTCACACATTTTGGCTTTACACTTCATTCTCCAGTATAAAATTAATGAAATAGTTTCTTTGGACTGCACATACATGTACACATATAGCAAATTGCTTCATCTAGGCTACAAAACTAAATGCAGAAGACAGTGTTTCCTCCAAATTACATGAAGTGAATAATTCACTTTTCCATATTTTTAAACATTTCTACAGAGTTCTTGGATTTCCTAAGGCCTCTTTTGCTTTTAATACAATAGTGTCCATTCGGCAGCTTTCAGATGTTAAAAGAAGAATCTATTCAGCACATAAACACAGTTCAGCAAGGTTACCTCTAAAAATAAAGAAAAGGTCACAATTTCAAAAAATAAAAAGGTCAACCCAGTGTAGATGCTCACAGCAGGTCTTACCTGTAAGTAAAACACGGCCACAGTGCTCCCTTGTGTCGGCTCACAGCAGCCTGTGGTTAAACACTGGCAGCAGACTTTCACGAGCACCAAATCTGAGCCACAGTTTATGACTCAAACTACAAATGCCCCTTCTGAGCCACAACACACTCTCGGAGCAGCTAACTGTGGTGTCTCTGGCAAGAGCAAATACACTTGGCAGGGAAGGCCGGCCACCAACAGCTTACACCCTGCTGCCTTCCCAAAGAACCAAACCAAACTAAACACACACACACGACATCCATAGGCACAATTTACTGGATTTTTAAAAATGAATACTATGATTCTTAAATTAAAAATACAGAAATGCCATGAGTAATCATGATGATACCCAAGAAAGCAGTCCTCAATCATCACGTCCACACCCCCGCACCCACCTCTTAATTGAACCTACCTTAAATCAATTCATCAGTCAATCAATTGAAGTATCTATTTGCCTTTGAGTATTTTGGTATAGTTCAAAAAAGTCTAATTACAATAGAAATGATACTGATCACAAACAGCTTTTAACTTTAAGATGATTCTTGAAAGAATCAATCGTCCTTGGACAGAAGGAAGGGGAGGGACCTCTTACCCAGGAGAGGCGATTTCCTCCAGTAGCCGTCGCGCACCTCGATGTAGTCATACCAGCACAGACTGCTTTTGTAGAGGTCCATTGTGGTAAAATTTAGAATAATCTGCAAAAAGGAGGAAAACACCGCAGAATAAAAATGACGGCGACTGCCTCTGGCATCCTGAGTCCTGGAGGTGAGGACCGCGGGTGCACAAGGGAAACGCAGCAGCGGCTGGCACTTTTTCTCCATTGGTGTTGCCCCAACATTGTTCCTTAAACATCTCAAAATCATATTTTCTCCTTTTCTTTAATGTTTAACAAGGTCAGTCAACATGCGATGTTAATAGTTGAACAAACTGAACAATTCAGCAATTAACCCAGAGTTTGTGTAAAGCTCATTCGAACAATTATAAAGCAAACAACTTGATTCAAATAGTTTGAATTTTCCTAAAATAAACATGATTTGAACCATGAAGACTCCCAATTCTTTCCATGAATTTCATTTCCTTAATAATTTATTTAAAGGGGCAACGCCTGTGGTTCAGCAAGTAGGGCGCTGGCCCCATATATCAAGGGTGGCAGGTTTGAACCTGGCCCCAGTCAAACTGTAACAAAAAAATAGCCGGGTGTTCTGGCAGGCACCTGTAGTCCCAGCTACTCAGAAGGCTGAGGCAAGGGAATCACCTAAGCCCAGGAGTTGGAGGCTGCTGTGAGCCGTGACACCACAGCACTCTACTGAGGGCTATAAAGTGAAACTCTGTCTCTTAAAAAAAAAAAAAAATTCTTTAAAGGACAACCAGACAGCAATTATGTTAAAAATAACCACCTTGTACCATATTCGCAGAACATAATATCATTGTGTTTGTTGGCATGTTGTAAATACAGCCCTATAGAATTCAAATTTATACATCCAGCAATAATTAAGGCAGATGTCACTATGCTTCTCTAGATCTTCAAAGACCTGTCACGTCATAGATTTTGTATATCACCTCTTACTCTGCACTTTGTTTTGGAATGTTGCTGCTTTTGCAAAAATATTTCAAGAACAATTCTAGGAAAGACAACTTTCTTATTATTTTATAAAAAGGACTCTATTTTTCAATTAATTGACTTTTTTTTTTACTGGCTCACACCAAAAGTAGAGCCAAACTAACAAGAGGAAGGTGCTTACCTGATGCAGTGAAATACAGCTGTAACTTTGTTTTTATTCAATAACTTATTCTAACTCTATCTCGCTTAAAATATTTGAGATACTTAAAGCTCACGGTGAACCTACTTGTTACTCTAAAAATGACACACGGACTATGATCAAAAGCCAGAAATTGTGAGTATTTGAAGTGCTCTTACAAACTACAGCTCTGGACAATATTCAAAGAAACCTTTTGTGAAGATGCAAAGTGATGAATGGAAGAGAACTCACAAGGAATAACAAAAGAAGGAAGGAAGGAAAAAAGGAGAATAAAAAGGAGGGAAGGAGACAGGAAGGGAGGGAGGGGAAAGTGCCTCTCGTCATTCGGCCTGCATTCCAGAGAAGTACCACCAACTCTGGCTGGGAAACACAGGCTGCCCCCTCCCTTGAGTGCAGTATTTAACAGAAAGTCAAGCACAAAGTTGGGCAAATGAATGCTGAACTGTCCGCATCTTTCCCTTTTGGAAAGATACAGTATGTAATTACAGACTTCCCAAGGCATTTTTTATCTAGGTAGCACAGTGATGACTGATAAAACCATACACTTAAAGTCAGTTCCAGTGCGCATATAACTAACTCGTACTTTATTGATTACCACAGATGAAATCTGTGAATGGTAAGAAAATGCACTGTTTCCTAAAAGTTATCCATTAAGTTGTGGCAGAATTTGATTTTGTTTGTGAGTCGGCTTATTTTTTGTCTTCCTTGTTCGTGGTGGTTTTTTTTTTTTTTTTGCCTTTATTTTTTTCTTCACCTAATTTTAATGTTCTAAGTCTTTTCAAAAAAATGTTTACGAAGGTTTCCAAAATGTTGCTCTATCCAAGAGCAAAAAACTGATCATTCTTTTCTTTTTTTTTTTCAATAGCCCACTTGATTAACAAAATGCTTTAGTATCTAAATTATTTTAATGAAGTTCCTAAAACATTTTATTCTCCATCTTTGAATACCAACACAACATTAGATTATACTTGGGATATATTTGGGAAATAATTTCTGGCCTTTCCCCTTAACTTTGTGTTTACTGTAAGTCTGCTACAAATACATACACTACCACCAACTGTTTCTGGCCACCAGGCACTTTGTGTTTTTTAACAGCAGCCACTAGGCGTTCAATTCTATATGATCATACCTGAACTCGTTCATTACAGCAAAGACAGCAAAACTAAAATAGAAACACAGAGACCCCAAGGTTCATTATTTGTGGCTTCCCTTTGGGATGTAAAGGGGACTTTTATAATGATGTCCATATACTTTCAACTTCTTTCTCCATAAGGAAAAAATATCAGCTTAATTAGAAGTATGTTGGGGCCAGGCACAGTGACTTATGCCTGTAGTCCCAAGCACTCTCTGAGGCCAAGGCGGGTGGATTGCCTGAGCTCACGGGTTTCAGACCAGCTTGAGCTAGAGCAAGATTTTGTCTCTAAAACTAGCTGGGCATTATGGCGGGCGCTTGTAGTCCCAGCTAGTTGAGAGGCTAAGACAAATGAATCACTTAAGCCCAAGAATTTGAGGTTGCTGTAAGCTGTGATGCCACTGCACTGTAACCCAGGGTGACAAAGTGAGACTCTGTCTCTAAAAAAAAAAAAAAAAAAAAAAAAGTATGAGTATTATCAGATTTCATCCTAAATTAAAAATAATGCTGTTGGATTGTTAACAAATGGTTAATATTTGAAGTCTTGGAACACACACACTCACACAGAGAGATGAAGGGGGGATAACTCTAAACAGAAAATGTTTCTCTCTTGTTTTTAATCTTATAGTTTAAACGCCAAGCACTGTGGAGAAGCACAACTGGCCTGACGTTAATGTGAAACACAGAATCCTTTAGAAGCAGAAAATGTAATAAAGATAGGTTTTCTAAAATCAAATCTTAGAGCTCTGACGATAGAAGTAAAACCCTGGCCTATGACTAAGATTGCCAGCAGAATCCATACTCAGATTACAAATCAAAAGTGCTTGGAAAATATTTAGTTGTTTTATATTATTGTGTTATTTTATATAAACATATTGTATATTTTCCCAAAGAATGAGAAAATGAAAACTACATAACATAGTTATATAAATACTTTATTTTTTATGGTTAAGTATCAATCTAAAATTAATCATAGTTCCCCTGGAACATGAGATTGAGGGAACAAGTCTAAGTTTTCTGTGACCTGCTAGGAGTCCTCGTTGCAGTATTAAGTTGATGCAGTTTTTCTGCCAGGTTTACATATTAAATACTTTGTTTTACAATGCTGCAGAGTGAAGAATCTTAAAGAAAGGCGGGTCAACAGTTCAGGAGACTGGATGTCTGCAAGTCTCCAGAGGAAGACAGAATCAGTGAACTTTTCCAGCACAGTCAGGATGGCGTTGACTACCTGAACACATCCCTGAGCACTATCCGCAGACCAATTAGAACGGCATCTGCACCTTACCGCGCTGAGGACAAAGAACCATTGGCATGAGAGTGGCAATATTAAATGGCTCTTCAGAGAGAGATACTAAAATCAAAAGCTGCTATATAAAATAGATAGCTGGGCTCCTGCCAGAAGCAGCCTGGGCAAGTCTAATAAATTTTCTAGAGTCGCCCTAGTTTCTCAGAAATAAGGTTTCAAGAGAGTAGATGAGGGGTCAATAAACAATAGCCAGTGAGCTGAGTTCTGCCTGCAGCCTGTTTCTATAAATAAAGTTCTCTAGGTGACATTCCTTTACTGTGGCGGTTGATTGCATGCTGCATTGATAGAAATGAGTATTTGTGACAAATAAATACTTTGCAACCTGCAAAAGGTAAAAGTATTACTACTCGTCCTTTCCAGAAAAATTTGCCAGTCCCTGGAATAATTGATCTTTAAGATGTGTTGTTCAGCTCTGAAGTTGTGTTATGTTAAGGGAAAGAAAAATCACAACTTTTCCAACATGTTACAAGCTGTTCCGGAGGGAGCCAGGCCAGGTTCAGGTTCTGGGTCTCTGCTAGTTCACCGAAACGTCTTGAGGTTGAAAGAGCATCTTTATGGTAAATGGGAAGTTATCATGTCAGCCTTATCTCAACAGAATTAAATCACAAGAATTTAACTCGAAGATGTATAGAAAAAGACTCAGGTAATCCTCAAGTACCGATAGGATACTCACATATTATCATTATTTTTTTCCATGGCATACATTCAGACACCCCTCTTAACCCAAACCCTGAAAGAATTATAAAATAAATAAAAGCATTAATCTAATTTCCTGAATCCATCTGTGCTGGGGAACATAAAAATATAAATTTGATTTTAAAGTCCCCTGGGAAAATCTACATGTGGGAGAGAGCAGTGGAAAGTCTGAGTAGGGTGGACACCTTAGGACGTTGGTTCATCTTATGAGACAAGCTGTGTGACATCACACAGACCCTAATTACCAACAGGGATTAACTATGATGGGTGAAAAACATGAGTTGCATTATGCTATTAAAATAACTTTTATGCTTAAATGTTTTTAATAACATCTAAATTTTGAAACTTCAATTTGTCATTGCCTGTAATTCACTGGAACTTTTTTTTTTTTTAGTATTTCTTCCTATGGCTTGGCTGTATGTGTTCCTACAAAACTGTGTTATTTTGAAGTTTAAACCTTAGGATAAAGGTATTAAGAGGTGACTACTGGGAGGTGATTAGTCCAGGAGGGTGGGGCCCTCATGGATCATATTAGTGCCCTTAGAAAAGGGCTTAAAGGAGCAAGTTCAAACCCAATGTCCCTTCTGCCCCTTTGGCCAGATGAGAGCACAGCAGGACAGTGCCATTTTGGAGGCAGGAGCAAGCTCTCACCAGACACCATGTCTACTGGCACCTTGATCTTGGAATTCCCAGCCTTTAAAAACTATGTAAAATAAATTTTTGTTGTTTATAAATTACCCATTCTAAGTTATTTTGTTGTAGAAGCATGAATGGACCGAGACATCTCTCTTTCCTTAATTC